CGTCAAAAGTCATTACATCTATGAGTCTAGTTTGGACTTTCTGCACGAGAGCGCCCTCCGGCTTCGAGTATGAATTAAACATACACTGCATGAGAGTGTTAAACGCTCCAGATATTCACTTCTCCTCATTTTGGATACGAATAAAACGTCAGGTCATGCATAGACTATCGATACTGTGCCTTTGAATTTAAATCTAGATTTAAATCTATAAACCTCTACGTGAACACACCTGCCCGAATAAAGTGCGGGAGACAAATTTACATTTCATTAAAATTAAATATTACAAATGCAGCTAACGTTCTACACACAGCAATATAAACAAAGGTGCCTGTTCTCTTTCGTTCTTGCTGTTTGATTGGGAAAAGTTTAAAGGGCATGGAGGGGTCTTGTCTTTATTTTATCTGACTAAAAACTATTACTTTGAAGTATTACAGTATTTATTTAAAAAACGTAGAGTGCCTTAAAAATAATTATCACAACACTGGTAAAAACAGGCTTATACTGATTTTCTCATCCTCCGATTTATACTTATCAATCCTGTTTTTATTATCATTATCATTTAAATTTTTTTTATAAATTCAGAACAGGATTATAATATAATTCTATTTTAAATAAGACAGCAAAACCACCATACCCTGTAAATTCAATAATAATAATAATATTAGGCCTAATATAATTCTGTTTCTAATTCCAGAGTGATTAAGAGGTGCAAAGACCCACTTAAAATGGTCTTTTCTGTTCTGTGTTTCTTTTTCAAAATTGCGTCACGGCAGTTGCTGCTATCAATACAGAAGCATCCGTTTCGATACACGTCTCAGCAAGGAGTACAGCCCTATTAAAAGCCGTGCTCCATGTGCCCCTTTTATACTTTGAGCACCTGCCCCTCCAAAGGTCTCTGCACGGCCCTGCAACCACATTCACCACATGCTGTCCACTACACGTTCTTATATAACCGTCTGTAACCCTCTTTTTGGACTGTTGTTTCCTTGCTATCTTGTACTTTTCTGAACAATACAGTCTCTGTGTGAATGTAATACAAAGGCTGACGAGAACCGAAAGAAGGGTGCCAGGTTTGCGAGATAGACGTACAGTATCTGGTTTCTCCGCTGATGCCATTCTGGTGCTTTAATTCACAATCTCTGTGCCTGGGTTTGCTTTCCCATGACATGAAAACCTACTGCATTGTATTGAGCTTTCTCCCTTTCCTTGTTGTAAAAGGGCATGTGACTCTCAGGTCATTTTACCCTGTTCGCTTATTTGTTTTGCCAGCACTGCACCTACTGTAACAGCACTGAGGCAGGAAAAGAACGGCCAACTGACATGCATTAATGCATACTACTTTGTTTTCACCATGCACATTTTAACAGATGAAAATGTAATAACAGAAATGTGTTAATACTGGTTATAGTCATGTTATCTGATAGCAGATCCTATCAGTCATTTAGACAAAAAGTCAAACTTGAAGAGTTAGTACACCCAAAAATGAAAATTCTGTCATTCATTACTCACCCTCGTGTCGTTTCAAACCCATAAGACCTTTGTTCATCTTTGGAACACAAATGAAGATATTTTTGATTAAATCCGATAACTTTCTGACCCTGCATAGACAGCGACACAACTGAAATGTTCCCAGACCCAGAAACGTAATAAGGACATCAATATAACAGTACATGTGACATCAGTGGCTCAACTTCAATTTTGCAAAGCTATGAGAATACCTTTTGTGCGCAAAGAAAACAAAAATAACAGTTTATTCAACAATTCTTCTTCCCGAGTTAACGCTTTCCGCCATTTTGGAGAGTACCACGACGCATGTGCGCGCTTTCCGTTCAGCGTTGCTTACGTTCAGCGCGCGCGCTTTCTCCTGAACCTAAACAAATTATGGTTTTTTTGTTTTCTTTGTGCACAAGGGGTGAGTAATTAATGACAGAATATTCATTTTTGAGTGAACTAACCTGCAGTCACTGCAGCACTGCAGTCAAACAATAGACAAAACTGAATTTTTTAATAGTATACATTGTCTTATTATTAATATTTACAATTAATTTAATTTAATTTAATTAAAAAACAACTATTTAGTGCATTAAAAATTTAAATATTGGAAATAAAATGTATTTCCAAATTATAGCATCTTCTTTAACATAAAGAAAACTAATTTAATAAATTATAAAATTAAAAGTAAAAATTTATAAAATACTATTTAATGTTAATATACATTTTATTGTCTCTCATTTGAAAGATTTCATTTACATTTTAATTTCTTCCCTATTAAAAAGTGTTACCTCAGAAAAGACAGCAAGTATTACATTAAACATGTTTTACAAAAATATGCAACAAAATGTGTAATAAAACATTGATTTAAGTTGAAGTACATTGCTGACTTTTGTGTGCAGATGTATGACTGTAATCAGCAACAGCTGCTAATGCAGATGTATGTATGATGGATGTATTCTATGTATTCCCATTAGTTTTGAAAAAAACAAAAAACAAATACCACTGCAGTTGCAAAATGGCTCAGCAACATTCAAAGCAGTGTAATAAAATGATATGGCAGAAATATCACAACGCCTTCACCACCTCCAGAATCGCAGTATCAGCCTAGTTAACAAAAATATATTCTAACATTTTGCTAACATTATAAAACATTATTTCGGAATGTTCTCTAAATGTTTAAAACATGCATTTTAAAACAAATGTTTTAAAAGAACATTCCCTGTTAGCAGGAAATGAAACATTCAGGAAATTTGCTCAGATACACAAAAAAAATTCCGCTGGCACTCAAATCTCTCTCTCAGACCAGCACACAATATCTGTGGAATGTCATGCTTCTGTGAAATACGGTTCACACGGTCCAGTACAGAAAAGATGAACCTTATATAAGCACACCCTTAGCTTTCAAAAAGGGACCCCTGATAAGTGCACTAGCACTGTTTATAGAGTGCGGACTGCTCTTATTAACATGAAAGCTCTTCCGATAAAGCACCACGCTGAAAAAAATGAGGGCTTTTGTTTATTAAAGATAATCTGACTCTGGCTCCATGCAGAGACCTCAATCTTCAGCATATTTGATTACAGAAGTGAGGACCAGATTTCTGCAAACAATGAGATATTGTCGTTTTTGATGCTCTGCGAATGTATTTCTTGGCAAACCAGCAAGCCTGGTTGGCTCAGGTATTTTTTTCAGGTCTGGGATGTGTCAAAGGCTGAATTTGGATAAGCATACTACTCTTACTATTGCTGCCTTATAAAGACAAGGCAGAAATAGTACAAGCAGTATGCCAGTTTTTTAATATATTCTGAAAGCTGAATAAATAAGCTTTCCATTGATTTATGGTAGGATAGGGCAATATTTGGCTGATATACAACTATTTGAAAATCTGGAGTCTGAGAGTGCAAAAAAAATTTTATATTGAGAAAATCGCATTTAAAGTTGTCCTAATGAAGTTCTTAGCAATGCATATTACTAATAAAAAATTAAGTTTTGATATATTTACAGTAGGAAATGTACAAAATATCTTGATGGAACATAATCTTTACTTAATATCCTAATGATTTTTGGCATAAAAGAAAAATCAATAATTTTTACCCATGCAATGTATTGTTGGCTATTGCTTCAAATATACCCGTGCTACTTATGACTGGTTTTGTGCTCCAGGGTCACATATATAGGCTAATATAATAACCTAAAAATGAAAATTCTGTTGTAATTTACTAACCCCTTAAGTTGTTGCAAACCTCTATGAATTTCTTACTTCTGATGAAAATGAAAGAAGATTTTTTTGGAGAAAAAAAAGTGGGTACAAAAAAGTTGCTGGTGAACATTGACTTCCATAGTATGGACAAAATACTATGCAAGCTAATGGTGGCCATCAACTGTTTGGTTACCAGCGTTTTTTGGGTGAACTATCCCTTTAAGCCACACTTTAAGAAGATATGAAATAAATATAAAATATGAAATGAATGACCAAATGATAGACTTTTCCTAAAAGACATCTTTCTTTTAGACATTTTAGCAAATAAATTGCCAGACTTTTTGTCAGAACTTCAACAATGTGTGTGCATGTTGTTAATTACTTTAACCAACTTGCTTAATTTGTCACACACTCCTCTAATGTTTCACAACCACAAAGTGTCACAATACTTTTTGTCTTTGTCATTTTGACCAGTATATATTGTTTATATCATTTTAAACCTAACAAAGAGCTTTTTGGTCTGAACCTGTCTGACAAAGTGAAGCATGCTTAAATAGCAACACATTATGCCGCGATCTAAAGAAATTCAAGAACAGATGAGAATCAAAACAGTTGACATGTATCAGTCTGGAAGGGATTATAAAGCCATTTCTAAGGCTTTGGGACTCCAGCGAACCATGGTTAGAGCCATTATCCACAAATTGAGAAAACTTGGAACAATGGTGAACCTTCCCAGGAGTTGCCAGCTAACCAAAATTACTCCAAGAGCACAACGACGACTCATCCAAGAGGTCATAAAAGAACCCAGAACAACATCTAAAGAACTGCAGGCCTCACTTGCCTCAATTAAGATCAGTGTTCATGATTCAACAATAAGAAAGAGACTGTGTGTGTGTGTGTGTGTGTGTGTGTGTGTGTGTGTGTGTACCTGTTTTTCTATTCTGGTGGGGACTTAAACCTGACTACACACAGACTCATGGGGACTCGTGTCACGGTGGGGACCTAAATTGAGGTCCCCACGGGTAAACAAGCTTATAAATCACACAGAATGAAGTTTTTTGAAAATCTAAAAATGCAGAAAGTTTCCTGTAAGGGGTATGTTTAGGTGTAGGGCAATAGAAAATGCGGTCTGTACAGTAGAAAAACCATTACGCCTTTGGAGAGTCCCCACAAGGAATGAAAACCAGACATGTGTGTGTGTGTGTGTGTGTGTCATAATCTTTTTTTCTGGGTCTCAAGAGGATATGAATCTATGTTTTCCAGTAGAAGTCAGACCGTATTTGCACGACGAACGCTCCGCCCTAACGACGCTATAGCTAGTGGAAACTCCTCCGTAGATGCGCGTTTTTACGCCAAATCACTTCCACGCTGCCAGCACATGAGGGGAGAGCAGAGACGATCAGCTCACACCAAAGACTTTTACACCAACTCTCCCACCTCCAGACAGCACAATGGCAGAAGAAAAGATCTCAATAGACGATGTAAAGACGTCCAACGGTGAAGCGCACCAGGACAGCCCGACCATCGCCAACGGCTTGGGCGATCACAGGAGGAGCGAGCCGGAGAGCAGAGGGCAGAAGCTGAAACGCTTCGCCATGGCCAATCTGCTGGTCATCCTGACGGTGTCCGCGGTCATCGGCGGCGTCTTCATCGGGCTCGGCGTGCGAAGCGTCGGGTTGAGCCGCACGCAGATCCTTTACTTCGGATTCCCCGGTGAGCTCCTCATCCGCTTGCTCAAGATGATCATCATTCCTCTGGTGGTCTGCAGTCTGGTGTCAGGGGCTGCCAGCCTTGACCCCAAAGCCCTGGGCAAGCTGGGCGGCTGGGCAATGCTCTTCTTTCTGGTGACCACTCTGATCGCGTCTGCCATCGGCGTTATTATGGCGTTCATCATTCAGCCTGGCTCCAGCGACGGCCAAAAAATATCCAACCTCAACCAGGATGACATGAAGGTTCCTGAAGCCAAAGAAGTCATCGATTCGTTTTTAGACTTGATAAGGTGAGTCCCCCAGTGAACACGTGTTGGAACATTTCGCGCTTTGGGATTCGAAATGAGAGCTCTAGGGTTCCAAAAAACTTTTATATGATAACGTTTAACTGAGAGGTCTACTTGTACTGATTATCGTAAATTGATTCAGCAACATTATTGTTTTGACTATCTATAGCGTGAGTTGCGTGATGTGGATCTTCATGTGCTGTAAGCGGACGCTTCAGTTGCATCAGCTGCGCGTTGCGCGCTCGACGCATCCGCTCTGAGGATGCAGCTTTATGGTCAGTTTTAAAGATGTGGCATCTACCCTTCCATTTTTCCGGGTGTGTGCTGTCCTTTACTCGAGAAAGCAAATGCCGAATGAAAGTTTTTAGCGGTATATACCGAACTGTGGCGCTTAATAGAATAAAATAAGTAGAAATTGTGAAGAAAATGATCATTTATTCTTTCAGCAGAGGCAGACATTCCTTGCATTCCATAAGGAAACCTAAATCATACAGTTTATGGGTGAGTTTTAGGGTTTGGTACTGTTGTCCTGTAAACAGGTCACATTTCATCATGTGTTGAACAGAATGATGTGAAGAGAACATTCTGTTCTCATTTACCTTCAAAACAACAACAAAAGACGTTTTGTAAACAACTTGTAAACTTTCTAACTTCCACTGAAGACTAGCATGTTAATATGAATAGGCCTATATACAAAATGCAAATATTTAAACTGACACTTTAGGGTGACCTGACCCAAGAGAAACAGGGTTTTCTGTTTGTTTTTTTAATGGACTGTCCTTGAAAATGTCACTCGTCCCACAAAGTGAGATAAAACGAAATTTGCTATAGCCTATACTACCTTTGCTTTTTTTTTTTAAAGAAAAAAATCACATACAGAAGCTTCAGTTTCATATTCAGTTTCAATATATATACATATACATATATATATATTGAAACTGAATATGAAACTGAAGTTACTGCATTGTGATTTTTCTATTTTTATTTATTTATTTATTGTGAGGTGGCGCTTATGGAAAAGCTGAATTAGAGCTGTTTCCCGTAACCCGTAATTTATCGGGAGTTGTTCAAATCACGGTAATTTAATACAGTTTTAAGGATAATTAAAATATGAAATGGTAATACTGACCGTCGGGAATGTTATCATGATTTATTGTCAAACTTAAATCATCCCTAATATAAATAAATATAAATATATATATATATATATATATATATATATATATACACATACATTTATTTAGTTATTTATATGCAAGAATTGTCACATTATTAATCCACAGTAATATTCATTTCAACAATAATTTCACTTTGGAAATCCGGTCACTTGAAATGAATGCAGCAGTTTAATTTTTAATAAATTTTTTAGCTATTGAGTTCGGTTTTCAGTTTCAAGACCGTTAAGGGAATAATGGTTCATAATTGTTGAGGGTTTCAGTTGCTAACAGTCGTGCATTCATTCCCACGTGACAAAAGGAGCCAAAGCCTGGCTTATAACGGCATTGAGATAGCTTTGGGTTAATACAGTTTAATAACTTCTTATTCCAACAGAAGTTAGATTTTCCCTCTAAAAATCTCTCTCTGTGTGTGTACGCCTTTTTTGACTGTAACAGACAGTCTCTTCCTGGTGGCACAGCTATTTTAGTGTCCATGCACTTCCTTGTCATTTGATGTAGCATACTTGTTTCTGACCAGTTCCTCAGAATATTAAAGGGTTAAAGTGAAAAGCACTTTAATAATGTTTCAACACCACTCATGCACTACATTTGACATCTTTCAAGCTATACTGATTGGTTTATGTGTGGAACAGACTAATATTTAAGGCGCTTCGCTGAAAATCTTGCTTTACAGCTTGTGATCACCATTCACTTTCATTGTATAAAAAAAGAGCAGCTTGGACATTCTGCTAAATTTCTTTTTTTTTGCTTTACCGATGGAAGGCAGTCAGATGAGTTCAGAATGACATGCGGGTCAGTAAATTATTTCTGGGTAAATTGTTACTTTAATTGCATTAGCATTTGCTTTGTGTACAATCCATGCGAAACTCACAATTTCCCCGATCATGGCCTTTTTTGTTTATTTTAGACAGGGCAAAGTCAGAGTGTAGGTACATTTACCGGTTAATAGTTACTTTTAATATGTCAACAAACACTGAACTTAGGATAAATCTTTGATGAAAGCTTTGGTAGGGTGTGTGGAGCGCCACGTTTCAAGGAGGTCCTGTTTGACATGTCTCACTATTTACACACCTACGTAGAAAACAGGAACTTCCATCACAACTTAAAGCCATACTTGGAATGCATTGAGTCATGAAATTGTCGTTGTGTGGTATTAGTAGTTGTAAATGTTGGATAAAATGCTCGGCCCATCGGCTGGATTTGAATGTGATGCTTTGAAAACCAGTGACAACATTTGAATGCGTCAATAATGACATATTTCAATGGCATGCACTGGTTTTACTAGTGTTGCTATGCTGGTTTCGCATGTATCTTCAGTTCTAACATACCTCAATGTTCAGACGAAGGAAATTTGAGAAGAGAACGACCACTGGCATTGGTGTTTGGCAGTGACCTGCTGTCTGGGATGCAGCCTGTTGCACAGCAGTTTTAAGGCTGTTCTTCCCTCGGTTTTCCAGTCTCATCTTGCTCCAGCTGCACTATTTTATAATTATAATAGTCTCTTTACACCTTCCAGGCTTCTTTAGATGTTAGCGGGAATGATTGCGATGTATTGGAAAGCTCCCTATGGGCAACAGATTCCAGACGTTTTCAGAATCCGGTCTGTAATGGCGCTTTTTTTTTGGAAATGTAACTCAAGCACAGCTGCTTTTGTGATTTTACTTGGGAAAGGGTGGCACACAGGATTTATACCAGGGATTTTAACGCCATCAGATTGAGGACCTCCTCGTTTTTTTGTATGCACAGCACACTATATTAAGGTCAGGGATGCTGGGATATTCCTGAATAAATGTCTGCCTTTGACATTAATCCTCACCTCCAGGCAGGTCCTAGTGCCCATCTCCATTGGAGGCAATGGGGTTATAGGTATAGAGGAGGTAATGTGTGGAACTGGGATTAGTGGAGGGATATAATCGGACTAAATTCTTCAAGTTATTTCCACATGAGGCACCTCGTGAGGCCAGGCCGCTCAGGGATTGGCTGCTGAGGACTGAGGATTTTAGTGCCAGTGGACTAAATCTGTGAAGGGTAGAATTGGATCTTTGTTCTCTCACTACCTTGTTCTGGACAGTGTTTGCCAAAGTATACTTCAGTTGTTATTGGGGATGTAACATTATAACCAGTGTTGGGGAAAGTTACTTTTAAAAGTAATGCGTTACAATATTGCGTTACTCCCTAAAAAAGTAACTAATTACGTTACTTAGTTACTTTTTATGGAAAGTAATGCGTTATATTACTTTTGCATTACTTTCACGTTACTTTTGTAAATATAAGCAGGGCTTGATTATTTTTAATATAAGAAGTTCTATTTATAGCAAATGTAAAAGCCCTTTCACACCAAAAAGTGTAATGAATAAACCTCAGGCTGAAGCAAAAGTAAATTCACGTCTGTACAGTAGAACGCAGGAGAAGAAACACTCTTCAGCAATAAAAAAAACACTGACACAATTGTTAGTTTCTCTAAAGTCATTTTTGCTTATTCTGGATCAGCAAAGGTCAGCAGCAAAGACATCGGTTAATAAAATGGGATTAGATACATTTGTGTTATTTAACATATTTAATTATTGCAGGTTTGCGTCATATTCTGAGTTTGCATTTGACCGTTTTAATTCATTTTGATGAATACTAAATCTGTTTTTTTGTGAAAAAGCGCAGCGCACACAACTCCTCTGTACTCCCGATTTCTCCCAATATGGGGACAGAAGAGCTGTCAGTCAATAAATGGGAAAACAAAGTAACTGGCATTACTTTTTTGAAAAAGTATATTTTCTTGTAAATTAAAAAAGTAATGCGTTACTTTACTAGTTACTTGAAAAAAGTAATCTGATTACGTAACTCGCGTTACTTGTAATGAGTTACCCCCAACACTGATTATAACAATCTCACGATAAGATAATACCTCGATATGAAGTCCACGGTACGGTATTTATTGCGATATTTAAAAAAATGAAGACTTGGGGGAAAAAAATAAAATGTTGTACATTTTAAAGTTAAATTCTTCTATCTATTGCACTTTGAGAGTACAAAATTAAGAGCTCCAACCCATGTTCTTAACTAAGAAAACCTTTTAGGGACTCAACCCTCTTTTTAGTTGTGATATACTGTCTCTGTCTAAATTACATTCACACTTGTGTTTTAGGAAGCCAAACAAATTAGAATATATAATAATAATAATAGTGCCACCATGGTGTTGGTCTCCTGGATCATGTGGTAAGGGAACATCATGTGCTTTTTCAAGTGTTTCAATTGTGGTGTCCTACGCATTCGTCTCTTCACTTCCCTTCCACGTACTTTTTGTTTTCTACAGGTATGCACCACTGGGTATTATGTTCCTGGTTGCTGCTAAGATTGTAGAAATGGAGGATGTTGGCTTGCTGTTCGCCAGCCTGGGGAAGTACATCGCCTGCTGCGTCATTGGCCATGCCATCCATGGTCTCCTTGTCCTCCCGCTCATTTACTTTGTAATTACACGGAAAAACCCATACACTTTCTTGCTGGGATTGGTCACCGCTTTGGCCACTGCCTTTGGAACGTCCTCTAGGTAAATGATCGCAGCTATTTACACTCTTAAAAGGTTCTTTATTGGCAGCTATGGTTCCATGAAGAACATTTAACATCCGGGGAACATTTCCATTGCACAAACAGTTCTTTATAGTGGAAAGAGGTTCTTTAGATTATTAAAATATTCTTTACATTAAGATAAAATGGAAGATTTATTAAAATAATTTTGCAAATGCATAATTAAGCAGGAAATAACCATCAGATTTTCTTATCAGCTCTGCCACGTTGCCCCTTATGATGAAATGTGTGGAGGAGAACAACGGTGTGTCCAAGCACATCAGCCGCTTCATCCTGCCCATCGGAGCGACCGTCAACATGGACGGAGCCGCCTGCTTCCAGTGCGTAGCTGCGGTGTTCATCGCTCAGCTGAACGGAATCCCACTGAACTTCGTCCAGGTCATCACCATCCTGTGAGTTCATTGGATGACGTTCATCCACCTCCATACTCTGCTGTGATTGGAAGACGTTGGCTTTGACCGACTGACTTTTTATCTGTCTGTAGTGTGACTGCGACGGCGTCTAGCGTGGGTGCTGCTGGGATCCCTGCTGGAGGGGTGCTGACGCTGGCCATCATTTTGGAGTCAATAGGCCTGCCCACCAACGATCTGTCCCTCATCTTGGCTGTGGACTGGCTTGTGTGAGTATCTGGTTTAGATGTTTTGTGCATAAATGGATAAAGACTCATTGATTCTGATGGTTTTGACTTGTAAGTTGACAGTTTAATTTGAATAAATACATTTTCATTTCAGTAATATAGTATTTTATTATTAAAGAAAATTACTGGAAATTAAAATATAAAGTCAATATATAACTGAAACAATAAAGTCATTAAATAATGTCAATACAACAAATAGCGCATTGTACAAATACTTAAATATTCTATAATAATATAATATAGTATATAGTACTAATTATTATTATTATGAAGTATTTGAAATAAATAGCAGTCGAGGATAAGGTGATTGTGTTTTAATATGTATGTACTCATGTTATGTCTTATAAAATTAGATAACTGTTAAAAATTTTTAGGAAATTAAGAGTGATCGAGGATAAGATGATTGTGTGTGTGTATATATATATATATATATATATATATATAAAATATATACTGTATATACACACACTTGTGTTCTTCGTGACAAAAACAGCCCTCGTGTGATATTGCTCTCGCTGCTCGTGTGATATCGCTTATCATATGATATAAATATGAGACAAAAACTCATACAGGGACATTTTTTAGCCCCAATATCTTGATTTTTTTTAGGGCATAACTGTATTTATGGAGTTGCATATTGCATCATATGATGCATCTTGCATCATATTTGTCAGCAGTCAATTGTATGAAATGTAAGATGACATACAGGTCTGGATGCGGGGCCAGTGTGCTAACATATATACATTCACATATATATGTATATGTAATGTCTTATAAAATTAATAAACTTAAACAAATTTGTAATAAAATATGATGAGATGATTGTATTTTAGTAATTATTTTAATAATTATATATTATTCATCTGATATCTTATAAAATTAGATAACTGTGTTAAAATATTAATTATTATTTTGAAGTATTTGCACAAACAAATTTGAAATCAAGAGTAGTCGAGGATAATTGTCTTTTTTATTGCTACTTGTATCAATTTCATGTCCTCATTTTTTTTGTACAGTGAAGATAATTTTTCTTTTCTGTCTTTTTTCTTCATTTAGCGACCGCACTTGCACGGTCATCAATGTTGAAGGCGACGCCTACGGAGCAGGTCTTCTGCAGTATTTCGTGGACCGCACTTCCAGTAAAGAGGGGGCGGAGCTAAATAAAGTGCGAGTGGAGGAAGAAGACTCCGCCTCCAGGCCAGAAAGTTCTCCACTCATCGAAAAACAGGGAAACCTTGAATTGGAAGAGGTCGCTGGACCGAAACCCTGTGAAAAGGAGTCTGTCATGTAGACTTGCACAATATTTCAACACACTTTCCATCCCGACCTGTCTGATCTCACTAAATCAATCTCTGCATCCACACAGTGACCGTGAGAGAGATACAGGTTTAGATTAAGACAGGACAAAGACTACATCCTTTTGACCCTCCTCTGTGCCCAGCTCTTTATGAAAGGAGTCTGCCAAAACGTATGCACATTTAGATGGAAAAATGCTTGAACACTTATTTATTAGATGCTGGTCAGACATTTTGGATTTTTTCTCTTTTTATATTTGCTTTACTCCTTTTATAAAAAATAAATAAATAAAACTCAGTCCGGCCTTTTAAAATAATCTATTTATATTACTATTATTATTACACATGCCCTAATAGTTCTGATTATATGCTATTGAGTTAAACCTCAGAACGCCTTTTTCATGCAAAACATCTCCTAATAAGCCAAAGCATCCGCAGAATCTGCTTTATGGTCCGTTATGCTGAAATACCTCATTCATGCTGATTCCCTTTATACCACCTCAGGCTCCTCAGATGTAGGTCCATCTAACAGGTGCTAATACCTTCACTAAACTTGCTACTAGAGGAGCCAAAAGAATGGTGTAGAAAGCCTGACTGACAGTCAAGAGACAACATCTTACCTTCTGCGTCTTTGTCTTTATGCAGTCACTATTACATTTCACAGGGCAGGCTCTTTGGGGTCAAGTTGTATCCTAAGGTCAGACAGGAACGTAAGCACAATGATATATGGGTCACATGCAAAGTACTCCTCATCTTAAAGCTCCGAGGCTGTTTGGGTAAGAGCCTTGAAGCCTGCAGGTGAGGGAGTTCCCTATGTGGAAGTTGATAAGCAACTGAGGTCAACTGGTGTAAACCGATCAGTTTAAGAAGAAAGCCATAGATTAGAGCATGAATCAAGACTGGAACTGAGATTTTTTTATTTTGTATTTAAGCTAGAATAAGGAACAGGTGTAGGAACCTGTTGGATGTGTTAAAATGTTTGGCTTCTGTCTCTTTTTTAAATGTATTTTTTTTGTGTACAAAAAAAAAAATCATTTTTTTTGTAAAATATAAAGAAATGAAGTATCAATTTTGTTTGCATTTTGAAAGTGTACTTCTGAGATCTTTTTTTTTCTGTGTATTATTGCAGAATAGCACACATACAATGCTTGCCATTTTCTAAAGATGGTTAACTTTACGTGGAGAAATCAGGCAGAATATTCTGTTAACACCATTAACTGGTGAATGTTTAATTGTAATTAGTAGTTGAACTGGATTATTTATTCAGTTTATTTATATATATATAACCTAAACACACCAGCAGAAGGAAGGTATCGGGCGACAGGGTGAGAGACAATTGCCATAGTACTGCATGTTGACCAAATGTTTGTCACAGTGATGAGAAGAAAGACTTAATAGCCCATTTTTGTAGAAATCAGTTTGACTTCTTTGTTCGATGAAAGGTTAAATCTGACCAAAGAAACATTTCTAATTCTTTATATTAATTTAACAACATATATTCTTAAAATATGGGGTTTTGGTGTGTGTAATCTGCATAATTAACGGTCTCTCATTTCTGTTGTTTTATGCTCAAGTTGTATTTCAAATCTCACAGATGTTCTGCATGACTGACATCACTCCTTTAAAAGCCAGTACTGTAAAGGCTTCTCATTCCAGGCGGCTGTAGCATAGTCTGTGTGCGAGTTTAATGCGTGGTTGTGTCATAAATGGGCTGCTTGATGCCAAAGAGTACGGTTAAGAAAACTAGTGAATGTACTCCACACAGACTGTAGAATAAAGTCTTTTTTTTTTAAATAAATCAGCAGTGATGTTCTCTTTATTATGAATTCAAGTTGCTAAAATGAGGTACACATTGAGTCCCAGAAGATTTTGTAACTAGGATAACTGAACCACTTGTTTGGTTATCATATTTATATCATGTTTATTATACAGCTCTCTGGTTAACTGTGGCCTTCTGTGCTTGGACATTTTGTATAATGGTTGCTGGTTTCTTACATAGCTGTGCTAGTTTCACATCTCATATTGTGCAATATTCAACTCTAACTGAAATGTTATGACTCGAATTAAGTCAATGCGTTCATTTATTTGGTAAGAGGCCATTTAATAAGCAAGATACTGTATAGTCTGCAGTTAGTATTGCGAAATACACGCCTTTAGGGCGATGCAAGACTTGGTTTCACAAGATACCAGCAGACCTCTTATCTCTGTTTGATTAAGTCAGAATGAATGATCAGATCCTGAAGACTTAAAATGCACCGCTGTAATCAAAAGCCACTTTTTTTAGGGAGGCTTTGAAGGTTTGTGCAGTAATGATACTGTACAAACTGGGTAGCATTGCAGCAACAAAGTCCAGCATGTTTGAAGACTTCATGTCCTATTGCGCCACCTTGTGGTTTATTCAACATTTTACTGTAATATTTACAATAAAAACTCTAAAAGTAATTCTGTGTGATGGTTTATTTCCAGACATCTGAAATATTAAGTCTCAGTTTGGAGTTATGCTGTTTGTTAAATATTTGGTGGTCATAATGACCATTTACATAATGAACATTACATAGTATATTTGTGAACCACCAAGACAAAACAAAAATGAGTTACATTAAAACAAAATTTAGGTCAAACAATCGACAGTCAAAACAATTCAAAACATCAAAAGTACAGTTATTATCATGCAACATGGTGAAAATATCATTAATAAAGTGAATGTGCATAAAACAGTAGCTTCTTTTCACTGGCTTTTTTATGTAACCTTTTCCATTTACAACCATTTACACAGGAAAACCATTTCAGATTTAAAAAAAAAACTTGTTAAAAGGTCATTACAGCCTCTTTCAACATCAGCGTACACCAGTGTCACCACATGCCAACAAAAACATCCTACACTCTACAAAGTTCATGGTGGTATAATAATGACCATTAAGTTGAAAAGCAGTGAAGTCCTTTCAAGGTTTTAATGAGCTGCCTGGGTTGTTAATTAAATGCTTCACTTGTGGACCTACAAACATGAATCAGATTTCCATATGCCAGCACTTACTGTAAATGATGCACTAATGCAATAAGCGATATAGGCTCTTTAAAACTGGTGTTTGTCTGGCAATCAGTTTAAAAATCTTAACGTTTGTTCAGTATTTAATTGGGTTGGACTTTATTTTAAGGTGTCCTTGTTACAATGTAATTACACATTTAAGTACCGTGCAATATTAATTAACAACATGTACTTACTATATGGTTAGGTTTAGGATTTGGCTTAGGGTTACTTGCATGTAATTATGCATAATGTATTGTTATTATAATAGTAGGTACACGTAAAATGTAACAAGGACACCTTAAAATAAAATGTTACCTTTAATAGCTACAGAAACTGATATATTGATGTTCATGTACTACAAAAAAAAAAAAAAAAAAGATTTGACCGTTGTTTGTGAATTCCTGGGATGCTGCCGTGTGAAATATTACATCCTTAAGATTTTAGAACTTGTATTACCATTGTTACATACAGTATATTTAGACTACTTTTGGGACTCATGACTCCCCAAACCACAACACACATACAATAAATTAAATCGGCAAGAAATGCGAACGTTCAAGTGATCGGACACAGCCTTCAAAACCTTCAATCTGATAGTAATACTCTACAAAGTTTAAAATGTCAGAAATGCAACAAATGCAATGTTGTGGAATTGTGGCACATCAAGTTACTGCTTGTTACGGTCCTAACGTGCGACTCCTGTCCAGTCTTTTCTTGGCAGGGTTCGGATACTGGGGGTTCTCAATAACCCCTTCCCCAAACTTGAGTTCCAAGAAAGCACGGTGGTTGTTCGGACCATAAGCGGTGATGCCGGCGAACTGCATTGGCACCAGGGGTTGCAAAAAATGCTCTGGGAACTCCACGTCTTGTTTGTGCTCCGTCCAAGTGTCCCTGGTCATAACTCCATTGCGGGGGTAGAAGGGCCACAAGTCCACATGCAAATGGTTGGCTTCACTATACTGCACACGATAGAAGTCGCCCTCGACCGCTCGCTCCCACACGTAGCCATTAGCATCCACCAGTGAGCCGGAGTCCAGGTTCTTTAGGTATTCGCAATTCGGAATGTCCTCCAAGTAGATGCCTAAATCCACGTCGTAGTCCCATGGGATTATATCCTGGTGTCGGGCTGCTCCCAACAAGGAACCCCCTTCCAGCCAGTAACGCACACCAGAGCTTTCCAAGATATTGATAACATACTTAGTGGTCTCTCGTAGGGAGCGCATACAGCAAGGAGGAGTCCAGCGCTCTAGGTAGAGGTATTCCGGTGTATCGTCACGCACTGTGCCGAAACATCGCGCGGTCTCTTTACTACAGCCAAACCACTGATCCCGACCATCAGGCAGCACCACACGCTTCAGCCCGAAGCTACGCATGAGGTGATTGGTGGCGTCTTTCAGGCGACTGTCCGCCTTCCACTGGTTGTGCGCTGAGCTAAACAGCGGGCGATGACTTGCAGAGAACGAAGGTCCCTCAAGGAGCTTGACCTTCCAACCACGCAGAGAAGTTTGGACAAACAAGGAAGACATGAGGGGGCGCCCTAAGGGAACCGAGAGATTGAAGAGGTCCTCGGTGCGGATAAGAACCACGGCGTCTCCCTGCAGGGCTGTGCAGACGCTGCCGCTGCTCCCTGAGGCCGCAGGGGTGTAGGTCGCGGTCCATTCCCGCAGATTCACCCGAAGGTGCAGGCACTGCACCGCCAAGCGGGTCAGCACGGGGGCGGCAACGAGTCGGACCGGCCCGCCACCTTCCCCTTCCAGTTCCCGAATGAGACGCTCGATTTGTCGGCCGTGGTCCAGCTCGACGCCATCTGGAACTAACAAAACAAACTCCGTCTGCACATTGAACTCGGGACGGTGAGTTTGTGGAGGCTGGTCAGGGCTTGGCGACAACACCAGGAGCCGGGCTCCCTCTGGAAGCGCCAGAGGAGGGTACGGTGGACTTTCAGCTACAGCGAGGAAGGGCAACTCTGGTCTCTGGCGCAAAAAGGAGCGTGCAACATCACCAACGTAGTTTTCAAAGTCTTCAAATTCAAGAACGAGGATCGTGACGCGTGGACCACGCATGTTGCCCTCAAGGCCTCCCATTTTGGCGCCTCCAACAATGCTTCCACCTACCAGATTACCCATAGCTCCCAGTCCTGCCACAGGCAGAGAGGCTTTCTTTAAGCCTTTACTTTGTTCCCGACGCTTCTCCATCATCTGCTGCTGGGCCCGTGAGACATAATATAGGATGAGCAAATTCAAAATTATTGCTCCTGTTAACAGAGCCTGACAAAAACTGATACGCATTATGGCTCTTGTGGTTAAACAATTTTATGATGCATGCAGTAAGTGAAATCTCAAATAGAAAGAGGACAGAAAATCTTGACTCTTATAACATGTCCGAATTCCTGAAATCTTGAACATTATGATCCTGGTCTGGCCAAAAAGAAAGCAAAGTGGAAAGCGATTGAGAGATGAATATTTGATGAAGCATCTTCTTTGACCAGATCAGTTTCTGTTGATGTCTTCCTGATGTGTCAGCTGATCCCATCCAGGAAAAAAACTGACGGACATATTCCATATTAGACCCTTTAGTTGTGCCTTTAGTTCACCGCAGTCCATTAAAAAAAAAATAAACGCTAAACATGGAGACAAAACAAAGAACATTTTAATAAACAAATTAACTTTGAGCTCTTCAAAGTACAAGGTCATTGTTTGGGAAATTCAGATCAAGTTTGTATTGCAAAAAGCCTATTAGTCATCACTACTAAGCCTAGCCAACAAAGATGACCAAGAACTATAAAGAGATGTTCCAAGCTGCTGTCCCAATTAGAGATGAGCTCTAGATTTGAGTATTTGAGAAATCATTTGATCACTTGAGACAGTTCCTCCAAATATAGAACATGCATGCAAAATGAAACCCAAACAAGCCTACAACCATCGATTCATGCAGCTTCTGATCTTGAAAGCATGCACACACAAAGACACGCATCTTCATTATGCAAAACGGTAGAAATCACGATTGTAAGAACTAACATTTTAAGGCTGATTCAACATTTTCCTCATCAGCACATTGTTTGCACGGTATTCTTCCCCATGCTTAATTCGGAAATGAGCAAAGGAAGCCCGAGAGAAGACCACAATGTAGCAGGAAGCTCGCACAACTGGGTCGCCTCGATCAATCCCATAGAAATAGAACGAGCGGGTGGAATGACAGGTAACCTGAAACTTGTGTTCTCACATGGGCGGGGCTTAGCTGTAACAGGATGGGTTTAAACATATTTTTTTCTTTTTAACGCTTCACTACTGTGTATTTTTAACTTCAGCGTAATCTGTACGCAAGATTATTAGTTATTTTATTTAGTGTGGAACTATTTTATATATTTATTTGATGTAACACTGATTCAAATAAAATACAAATATTTATTTTAAAGTGAATTTCTCTGCAATTTTGAAAATTGTTTCGCAATTGACAATATAGAGCATATAAAATAACTTTACAACAGACAAAAAAATGAAAGCAGGTATGCGACTGCAAAGAGACGCGTCACGTGACACATTTTACTTTTCTCATCACTAGTCAGGATGGACCAATCACAGCCATTCATGATGCTTGGACTCGTATTTAAAAACAAATTAATATATATATATTTTTTTTTTGAGAGATTGCTGCGGTGGATTTACATTTTGCAGGTCAGCAACAAATCTTTGTAATCAACAAATTTAAAGGATTATACGTTTTAGCAGTCGAAGGTCTCATTTAAAACAAAAAAACCGTCTTGAGATTTGAATTGACCTCAATGGAGGATCAGGCTCATGGAGCCGCCAAACGCCCCCTTGCGGAAGCCAGCTTTATGACTCATGGGCAGCAGTTATGAGCGCGTAGCGTTTGCAGCCATTCCGTAGTAGGAGTGGATCACTATTTGGCACTTTCCTGTGCGTGTGTGTGTGTGAGAGAGTACTCGCCTATCTGTATCGGGCTGGAAAACGGGAGAGGGCTTCGGTGGAGACTTCAAGCAACAGGGTGGCTTATTCTTCTGTTTTTCCACCTCCTGGCTCCGGCGACAGCGCGAACGCTCTGATGGAGGCGGAAAGATCCGGCGGGGTGGCGGGAGGAACGAACCAGAGCCCCGCAGGAAGCGGAGCGGGGCGCAATCCGAACGGGCCGAAGGCTGTGCTCGGTCCCGCTCCCACCGCAGCCGCCGCCGCGGCAACCGGGGCGATGGCTGGATCCTCCCAGCCGCGAGATCCGCAGGACGGGGACGCGGGCCTCTCGCTGCCCGGCATCTTACATTTCATCCAGTACGAGTGGAGCCGCTTTCAAGCCGAGAAATACCGCTGGGAGGCCGAACGAGACGAGCTGAGGGTAAAAAAAACGGGGTTTCTTTAATCGCATGTTTTGATCTCTTCCAGACGGATTCCTTGAGGAAGAGCAGGAAGAAGATTAGATGCAGTTTGGGGATTACACCGGGTTTAAGTATTCATCTGATGCTAGTCATTGAAAAAGTAACAAATGTTACCCTTTTGTTGAACATCCATACCCAGCTTAGGATGGGAATCGATGGGATCAGATTCCAAAAGCAGATCATTCAATGCAGTACATGCATTGGTCGTAAATATATAGCAATAATAAACGAATCTGGTAACAGAAAACACATATTGCGCATCTTTTAGCTACACGTTGTCATACGAACAAGTCCACGGTGATTGGGATCTTACGTGTTTTATGCACAACATTAAAAAAAAAAAAAAGTAAGTTTTTTGCATAATTTCGAGTAGAGTATGATGATGACTAAACTGTTAAAGGCATAATTCACCCCAAAATAAAAATTCTGTAATTTTGCTCGCCTTCAAGTTGTTCAAACCCTGTATGAGTTTCTCTTTCTGTTGAACAAAAAAGAAGATATTTTGAAGAATGTGGGTAGCCAAGCAGTTGCCGTTCCCCCTTGACTTCCATAGTATGGAAACAATGCTAAGAAATCAGTGGAGACCAGAAACTGTTTGGTTACTCACAGTCGTCTTTTGTGCTTAACAGGGAGACAAACTCATACAGGTTTAAAACAACTTGAGGGTGAGTAAATAATGATAACTGTTTTATTTCGGGGTGAACTATCCCTTTAACTTTCAGCTCGGAAAGTGAGTTAAATGAATTCAGGAACTGAAACCAGAGGTGTCTGTTTAGAACTGGCTCATAAGATTCATCCAATGCACAAACAAATTGCACTGGTGGAGTCGATGTTTTTGATTTACTAATAAGATTTACTCAGAGTCATTTGTGCATGAATTGAAATTGATTGGTTGCTCTACAAGTTAGATTAACTAAAAAATCAGTAGTATTTCTTGGTTCATTTCTGTTTAAACATGATGAATGGAATAAATTGAGGTTTAGTAGTCGGGTAAATTCAGTAAACGTCTTGACGGACTGGTAAGTGTTTATAACTGGATGATTTTGATTCACTAAACCATACAAGTCATTTGTCATCAAGTTAGTTAGATTCGCTAAAAGAATCGGTTCATACAAGTAACTTCTTGAGGAACTGGTCTACATTGGTTGTGCAATTTGTAAGCTTGTGTGTTTATTTTTATTTTTTTTAATTTACCAAAAGTAATCTGCTGACAAGTGTCATTCATTCCAAAATCAGACTACACTGGTCACGATATTTTAGTTTGATTAGTTTCTTCAGGTCATTTGTTTAGGAATCGGATTACACAGATTGTGTACACTGAGTGCTTGATTCTCCAAAAATAATCTGTTCATAAGAGTCATTAGAAAATATTTTACAGATTATTTTTTAATGACATATATTTATGTGTAGTATTTATTTATAAGTATAGGGGTCACCTAGAGTTGCACAAACAAGCACTTTTTTGTATGCTTAATATCTTGTACTTCATGCTATTAAGTTTTCTGTTAGTGCTTTGCGTCTTTCTCGACCGTGGCATTAAGTGTGAGATAATAGAATCAAGGCAGTTCAGAAGCAGTGATGTAAAAGATAAATTTACTAATAAATAAATGTTCTAATAATTGACTTTGGGATGTCATATGACCCATTGACTGCTACTTCTTTTGTAAATTGTGAAGCTTCTGTCCAAGGCATGACATAATGCAGTCCCGCTGGAGAATTAAAGCACATTTTATGTTTTGTTTTTTCAGTCCCAAGAGAGGCAATCTGTGTGTCTAGCACTTTCATCATTTAGTGATATTACTTGCATCGTATTACAGCATCTGAAAGATGTATAGCTCAAGTCATTTTATATGAAATCTGGAAACATAAAATCTGTTAGGAAAGCTTGCACTCGCATCAAGAACGTATTAGAGAGCGGAGAAAAACTGTTTAAACCAAGGATTAGGGATTTGCCCCCAATACAATTTGCTTAAACCGTCTTTTCTGAGTGTGGACTCCACTGGCCCAGTTTGCAGTAGATGTTGGCCTGAGAAAAGCTTTGCAATTCAGTGACCCCATTCAAACAGTGCCTGTAGTAGATTACATAAGGAGTTGCTAGTGTGCTCTATAAAAGGATTGGCCCTGTGGCTCTCATGGATGTGTGTTCTTCTGCCAGGCCTCTTCTGGACATGCCCATGGAAATGTGCACAGGCTTCAGGGACCAACTGCTATGTTTTCCATGTCACACGCACACACATTGTTTTTGACGTGGCCTATAAAAGGGTGGTAAGGGACAGTTGTAGTGTGAGAGTAGCTCAACTCCTCCTTGGTTTCTCCTGCCGTGGGGCGTCACGTTCTCTGATGTTTTTATGTGGGACACCTGTGCCATTGTGTGTCCTCTGTGGCAGGCAGGACATGATCATTCCGGTATGATGACCTTTGAGGCAGGGTTATTGTTAACTAAAACTATAACATATACATTTTAAGTAAAATATAAGTTTTTACTGTAAATAAATTAAACCCAGTAATGAAGGTAATAATATTTAAAATAATAATAATAATGACAGAACCGCATAACAAAAAGGTTTCAAGAAATGTGGCATTACGTCACTTGCTCACTAATAAATCCTTTGCAGTGAATGGGTGCTGTCAGAATGAGAGTCCAAACAGCTGATAAAAACAACACAATAGTCCACACCACTCCAGTCCATCAGTTAACATCTTGTGAATTGAAAAGCTGCATGTTAGTTAGAAACAGATCCATCATTAAGACAGTTTCAACTTCAAATTGTTGCTTTCAGCTAAAAGCCTTAATAATTAGAGATATTTTTGCTATCTCCCATGAGAAAGTCTTGTCTGAATCAGGGGTGATATATGCACAGATCAAGCTCAGTTTACAAGAAAACAGTTCTAAACAAATATGTTATTGGGGTTTGATTTAGGGCTGTGCGATATGGACAAAAAAAAACCTATCGCGATTTCTTTGATCAATTTTGCGATTTCGATTTTAATCACGATTTTGACAAACAGACATGCTTTACAGTCATTAATGCATTCAGTGTGATATACATATTTCCAAAAGAAAACCAATTAGAGCTTTATCAAAAAGCTGTAACATGTCTCTAGAACAGACATAAGGCAAAATAATCACTAAGTAAAGGTGTAACAAAATGTCTCTAGAATAAACATATATGGCAGAAAAAAACTATTTAAATCCCGTTTCCAGGGATTTTTTTTGCCATGCATTGTTCATAGAGCTCTTTGTGGCGTTGCCTCAGATGTTCAACTAGATTTGTTGCGCCAAGTTCACACATACTCCGTCTGCAGTGCGTATACAGTGTGTATGCGGTGCAGAAGCAGCACGGACTCATTTTGCTTTTGCACAAGACGCGTTTGCAGTCCGCTCCTAATCCGCGGCTGTTTACCACAAACGCAACGTTTATCCAGTATTTTGATTTCAAATCCAAACGTTGTTTCTGAAAATGCTTTTTCAGCATTGTGATTCTCTTTTATCACAGTACAGTAATACAATCTTTCATAGACATTCACATTTAAACTCAATAAATATAACTTTGTTTAACTACCACCACGAGTACCATCTATTATTGCCTTTATAAGTGCATTTTCCCTTGTTTTAAATCTAGCCAAAAAGCCATGTGTTGACTGTGAAACAGTAGACTTTAATTATATGCATTTATGGTGTAATTACTAAATTTCCATGTCAATCCATGTAAATTTTTACCGCGAATAAAACGTTTGTATGCCCGCCCGGTCTGTTCTGTTCTCGTGCTCCATTTAGGCGC